TATTATTTATCGTCATTTGAATTGAAATGGAATACAAAAGAAGGAAACTTTAGTTATTTCAAGATGTCAAAACTTATAGGTTTTGAGTTTTAATCATCGAGTTTTTGAGTTAATATGAGTATTAACACTGAAGATAATAACATATTACCCCTACGTCACTGAAAGTGTCTTTAGAGATAAAAGCAATATCAAATGTCAGTCTAAATTTAAAAACAAGCACCTGTAGAATAGTGGCAGAAAGTACAAAAAGACATCTAAAAATAGATGTCTCTTGCGATAATTAAGTTATTTGTTATTTGTGTAGGAGCTCAGGCAATCATATTTTACATTTTATAACTCTAATAGTCTGTGGCGTCTTGAAGGCACCGTTTCATTGTTGCAGTACACTTGCTACTCTGTTTTCTGCTTCCGTGATGCAAACCGTATTGTAGTACTGGATATGTGGATTTTACGAATTCATGGCATATATGTACGTAACATTTATATGAAAGCAAAGGACTTCTTTTCTCTCGTCAGCAATATCTGCGTCAACACTGCTAAGTGGTTAGTACATGCTGTTGCGTGGGATTTTACAAAATTGGAAATGCTGCCAATTAATTTAGTTTGTGGTATTTTGCTATATTGTGAAATATTTTATTTATTTTAGTATATAAATGCATTTTATCTTATTTCTTCGTATTTTGAAATTATTTTATAAACTATTCTTGGAAGCAGCAAACGGTCATTCCATCAATAGAATTTCATGCACTAACAAAGGATATTGGGCTTCTTCCTATTTTATATAAATTTCATTTTGCATATGATTTTGGGCTGGAATGACCTAAGGGGAACTGCAACTGAGTAATGCAAAAGTTAAAAATTACTCTTTTGCAAACATTACAAAAACATTGCATGTTACGGTCTTTGCGGCCCCTTGACATTTCGGTTACTTATAAATCAATTATTCTGAGAATTATTTCACTGCTACTGCCTACAGTATGAGAAATATTGCCCCTGACTATGCTTAATTTGAAGGTATACGTTAAAACTACCAATGCCAAAGTGTCCACTTTAGTCAGTGGAAAAAAATTTGAATTTAAATTGCAATTTTTGCAGGATAATTTCAACACCTTTTCTGGGTGAAGTTGCTATCAGTTTTGCTGCAAAAGCCAATAGGCCACAGCGTACACTGGTAAAAGTCGCTACTTGTAGAGGAACTGTATCTTTTAAATTAATTTTTTTCCTTATTATAATTGCAGTACATCATTCGCTGATGTTTTCATCAAAGAATGTAAATTATATATTATTTTTTTATCCTCGCATTTATATTTGTACTTCCCTTATTTACGTTTTTATCGTCAAGTTCGTTGCACACAGCGCTCCATAAATGCGCTGTAGTAGCGCAGTTTCTTCAATGAGCTCCAAGCTAGAGTTGAACAAACTTTTAACAATTCAGAGAAAAAAAGTAAATAATAAAAAAATTATTTTATATATGTATATATTTTGTTTATATAAAAAGTAAAACAAATTAAAATCCAAGGCGAATTGCTGCTGAACTTGACTTGACAAAAGGCGCTTACTACTGCTTCTTCCACTTCAAACACATTCCACACATGCCTTTTACGTAGCGCTACAATCATAAGTTCAGTGATGTTAGTTCTGCACACAGCTATATATATACATCTTGAGTACTCTAAAACGTGAACAACCTTATTTCATTATTGACTATTTTATAGCATGAAAGCTTTATAACATGAACAATAAACGTTCAAATTTTTTGATGTATTTTGTATTGATCTCAAATAATTTTTTGAACTTGGAGAATCCTCTAATAGCAAATTATGCATTTGATTTGTGGATGCAAGTAAAAAGAAAAATATTTCAGTTACCTGTATGTTTGACATTGAAAGAAAAAACTAAAATTCTCGATTTTTTACAAAAAAAGGTCGAGTGTGACGTTTTTAGCAAAGAAATATGATGGTGCTAAATCAACAATTTGTGGCATTAAAGCGAAAAGACAAGTCATTTTATAATGCGTAAACAACACATTTTGTAGGCCTCAAAAAAAAAAAAAACCTTGCGTACCTCATAGAGAAATCTCATTGTCGTTAGTTTATCTGTATGCGAAATAAGAACTGGTTAGTAAGTGCTCTAATGTTGAAAGAAAAAGCCAAAAAATTGCATTCAAAATTTAAGAAAAAGGAAGGTGATTTTTACGCTAGTGGTAGATGGCTTCACGAATTCAAAAACAGATACGGTATTCGACTTCTACAAATATCTGGCGAAGATAATGCGGATGATGATATTGAACATGAGGACGAATCCGACGAAGACTGCATCTTAGAGATCCAGAGAAAATTATACCAAGTGAAGCAGTTGAAATTTACAACAAAATAGTACAATGAACCAGTCATGAAGGCGTCGATAAAAATGATATGAATTTACTTAGACTTATAAGGAAGAAAGCTGTGTTTCAATTATTAGAAAAAAAGGAGAACCCAAAAAAAGATATGTATATATATATATATATATAGATTATATAGATATAGATTATATATAGAGTAGATTTTGCATAATGTAGAAACTGTTCAAATTTTTTTTTTGAGATATACATTAAGACCGAAAAGTTTTCGGAAATTCTCATTTAAAATTCGCGCGCTGTATATTTTTCGATATTTTAAGTTTATGTAGTTTGGCAGCACTGTCCTTAATTACTATGCCAAAAATGAGCGCGATCTGTCAGACAGTTCGTTTACGGCAGCTGTTGAAACCAGTTCACCTCAGTAGGGCGTTGCGAAAAAAACAATGGAAAAAAATATTGAACAAAGAGTTTGCATCAAATTTTGTGTTTCGAACGAAATTTCGTGTGCAGAATCGTTGCGAATGCTACAAAAGGCTTATGGGGAATCAGTTTTATCGAAAACTCAAGTTTATGAGTGGTACAAAGCCTTCCAGGACGGTCGTACGACCGTCGAAGACATTTCGCAACGCACTACTGAGGTGAACTGGTTTCAACAGCTGCCGTAAACGAACTGTCTGACAGATCGAGCTCATTTTTGGCATAGTAATTAAGGACAGTGCTGCCAAACTACATAAACTTAAAATATCGAAAAATATACAGCGCGCGAATTTTAAATGAGAATTTCCGAAAACTTTTCAGTCTTAATGTAGGTATTAATGTTTTCGTTGATGTAATGTATGACATAGTATTCCTTAGTAAAATCCTATGAATAGACAAATTTATTCACCAAACTTTACAAAGTTTATTCTAAGAAACATTGGAAACTAACAAAAAACTTAGTGCGTTATGCGTTTTTTTTTTATGAATTTTTCGAGTTTAGTGAATAATTCAATACACTCTAACATATTCGAATGTGAATGTGGGAGATTGTAAAAAGTGTGTGTGAAGCGTTCTTGTATATCGAAAATATTGAATCATATTTGCTTTATATTTGGAACGTTAAAAAGTGTTGCAACTTCAGTCTGGGTAATTAATAATATTTTTTGAATTTCTGCCTATCCATCAACAAACTCCTGAGTTGAGTGCTGTACACGCCACAACTCACCAACTGAGTTGTGGATAAACTAAAGGAGGATTGAAGACATTCAACAAAAAAAATAGTGGTAAATACAATCAAACTACTGCAGATATACGATATGTGATGAACCATTATATCATTAGCATATTAAAAATTTTTATGAACAGATAACATATAAGAACTGTCTGTTATAAATAATATATTAAATAATAAAGAAAAAGGTTTATGGTATATTTAGGGATTCAATGCATATGTCATTGACATATAGACGGCTTTCGGTAAAGCGAACAATTATTTTCTGGCTACAGCTGTTATATTATATCGCACTTAATTACTTAATCTGTTCATTTATAAATTGATTAATATAGTTATCTCTTAATTATCTTTATACCTTTATTTGAAGATTGGTAGATATTTTATTTTACATTATTACGTGTTAAAATGTTGCAATACTTGATCATCTATCATTGATTTTTATGTAGGTAATTCGCTGGACCTAGCAAAGAGGTTTGTATACTAAATTCTCAGTATAACAATGAACTCTCTAAAAATTAAAATATTAAGTAATTGTTGTAAATAACAAAAATTTGGAAATAAAAGATAGTACATATTCTTCTTACTTTTACTTTTATTACTTAGGTATAAGTTTTCCTACCGAAAATTCATATATAGTGTATATATAAAAAGCTCAGAAGACGATAAAAATTGATTTAAATTTGGGTTAAATATTATATTATATAGTTAACATATTTTGTTGCTTATTTTTAACGTTATTCTCTGTAAAAATTTTGTGAACAAAATTCTATTTAAATTCCTTATGCGAACTTTGTTACTTTTTTTAATAAATTTTGCATGGCTTTTTCTCCATTTTCCCACACAGTCTTTGAAATTGTAAGAATTTTTGAGTATATGAAAAACATTACTGAAATATTTTGTACTAATAATATGTGGTGGAAAGATGTGAAATAAACTTGCTTTAACCGGAAAATACATGCATTGGCCATGTAATATGCGATTTTATTAAATGCTTCAATTTCCCCCCTCAGAATAACAACAACAATATTTAGCTTTTGTCAAACAGAATTCATATCGTGTACTGTCTGTCCGTATGTCAAAAAAATTAAATATGAAAATATTTTGATAATATAAAGACCACCTCTTTACGACTTCACCTGACCAACACGAGCGCGTTGGCAAATACAGATTCCAAAAATTTACACCAACTACGTAGTGTACAAGGCCAGAAGTGTTTGCTTCACAAATGAAATAATTCTCTCTTCACTTCACTAGCTACTCTTTTGTGGCTGGTATGTACATTTAAAATTCGCTAATTCGCTATCCACAATCCACAATCCAAACACACAGAACTTCCAAGAATACAACACAGCATAACGCAATACAACAACATAGATTGACTACAGCGCGACAGTTAACAGCTGTTTATGGATGGTACGTTGTGCACAAACAACAAACATGAAACAACAAGCCACAAGCCACAAGCAGAATTTGTAAGCACATCAACTGAACTGGCAAACAGTGAGAGTCAAAACGATGGCACTTCAGTTGCGAAAAATTTTCAACGACATCAGTCGCCATCAAATGATGAAACTGTGTTCATCTCGCGGAATCTCAACTCTACTGAATGTTGTAACCAACGATCAACGACTTAGAATTGACACCTGTCGATATCTTATGCAAATTTTGTCGCGCCGTATAACAGGCGATTAAATACGTCAATCGCTCAAGATTTTGAATTTTTCGAAATAATATTTTAAAAATTCTGAAAAAAAATACAATTCGCATTTGAAGTGAAAGTGCATGAGGGAAACCACGACAAAGTGTAATAAAAATAATAAAATTAAAAATATTCCCAACGAATTTCCAGTTAAGCGAAAAGTTTTTCGAAAACTTATCGCGTGAAAAAAGTTCGTTTTAAAAATAAATTAAGTAAAAATTATTATACTAAAAAATTTGAACTTTTTTCTTCGAATTGTTTAACAATTTTGCGTCTCTCTCTATATATATGTGTGTAAATGTGTATGTGTGTGTGTGTGCTATGTTTTAACTTTCTAGAATTTTTGCGTCAACTTCGAGCGGCGAAAACGGCAAATTGTAAAAAAAAAGAGGTAACAGAACTGGCGAAAACCGCATCCGAGTCGAGTACAAACAATTAGAGAAAGTTGTTTTTGTTGTATTTTATGTATTTTTGCTTTATTTTTGATTTACTCATTTATTTTATTTTAATTCAGCAACTTTTTATTTTGTTGGATATTCCATTTGAAAATTGGAAAATAGTTAAAAAAAGTTATTACGTCGAGGACTATGGTGTAGCCGTTAAGAGTCGAAACCGTTGAAATTTACATAATTTTCACAGTTTTTAACGTTCGAAATTATTTTCATTTCAAAAACAAAATTGTTTTTAAATATTATTCACACTTGAATAGTTTTTATTAGAGCTTCAAATATTAATCGAAGCTTTTAACTTTTTCGTATTTCGATATGAGCCACTCGAGAGCTACTCGGACGACTTAACAACTTTACACCTTGAAACCTTGACAGTACTAGTTTTTTACAATACTTTGAAAAAAAAAAAAGAAATGGAGTTAAGGAGTACGAAAGCCGACTTTCTCCTTTCCATTCCAGATCACTTTAAGTGTTTGTCTTGTAATCCATTCCATGATGAGAGGATCCAGCTGTATTAGTTATGAACTAACTTTGTAATTTGATATTTCTAATGGCATTTTGCAGACTACAAAATGTCAATATCTTTAAACAAAGTGAACTTATCTTGCAGTGTAAAAGAGAACATAACACTGCTGCCACAGACCTCAGACCTAAGACTGCTGCATTAACTTCCCAGATTATTCTTGAGCTTAACAATTCATCAAAAAAAAAAGTTGTATTCGAAAATATAAGTTTTTCTCAGTACTAAACCTTCAACCAATAATGGAGAGGGAATAGTAAAGGTTACGATATTTACTTCACTTTATTTCATCAAACAAAGAAGTACAAAGAAGCTAGAATGTTATCTTACAGTTCTGCATATAATTTCAATCGGCTCACTCAAGTAAAGTGACTTTGAGAACGAATTTCCGTCATTTAGAAATGGAACAGCTTAGGTGCTTATGGGGTGTTATGGTGTTATGTACACCTTTTTGACATTATTGACATGGGTAGTGGGTAGAATATTATAGTAAGTTAATAGGTTGTCGCTGCAAGAGCTGAAGACATTTCAATTATAATTCTAAAATTTTGTAAATAAATAAATAAAACACTTCTTCAAGAATGAAGATTCATTAATACTATTAGTAAAATATATAATTACATCTTTTGGTTTGGTTTAATTTTATTAGATTTTGTAAAAACACTTGTGTGAGCACTTTGCATTCATTAATAATTATTCATTTATATTTTGAAGTGTATCTATTTACACTAATTTTAGTACCTTATCTAAGCTATATATTATATATTATAATAATATACTAATGGTTATATGTGCTAATAAACCAAACAAAACCATCGATAAACTGTTTTCTACAGTTTCTTTATATTGTCTTCGAATTAAGTTTATGGGCATTCTGTAGAATTTATCCTATCACTGCTGTCTGTCTTGTTAAGCAATTAAAGTATTTCTTTTATAACTGGAAAATGAAACTAAAATGCTTGCTTACACACTAACAAAAAATTCTCTTTGTGTTATCCATCACAAGTTCCTTCACTTTACATTTCTGATGCCTTTTTTCGAAACAGCGTTTATCGAGGTTTTCGAATTACCATCCATGGCAGACAGTTTTCATCTCTTGATGAAAATCAAATTTTTATTTAAGTTTAATATAAGAAAATAATTCGATGAAGCTAGTGAATATAATGATGCATTCAGTTGTTTTACTTAAATAGTTTGAATTTAACAATTTTATTATAATTGTTGTCATAACAGTACTTTTATTCTTATACATAACTAAGCACATGTTTCATTTCTATTAGTGTATATCTGATTTTTTTGGGTCTTACAATTAAGTACGTATTTTATTAAAAAAGTTTTTGACGCTTTATGAAACTCTATTAGAGGTAGGAAAAATTTTGCTAGCTTTGGGATAGTTAGCAACTTTTAATCTCTTCAGATGTGTATCAGTTCGATCGCCCTTATTGTCCTCCGTTAACTTGCGCGGAAAGTGGCTTGCTGTTTCAAGTTGGTACTGACGAGTGCTTTTAAATTATTTGTATACTGAAATGCACCGGACATTTTTTAAATATATCTTTTGATATATTATATGCTTTTCTTCATTAAAACTCTTCTAGAATTAAATTTATTATTATTATATTTTAATTATAAAGGACTAGTTTCTGTTATAATATATTTCATCAATTAATATCTTATCTTTGCATAAGCATTTGAGAGATTCGGAAATTTCAGAATGAAGTGAATCCATTCGGGATTTACCTGTTTCAATTTGGGGTATTCCTTCCGATCTCTTGTTACCTTTGTTGAAGCTCTAATGGTATTATCTCATTAAATTAACTTTTAATTGTTATCAAACTTTGCTTAAAGTTTGTTTTGTATTGTTATTACTTAAATATTAAATGAATTGTCTTCCAAAACTATTTCTTACTTAGAATATGTAGACTAGGGTGTCATTAAGGTATATGGGCAATTTTTTTTTCGTAAAATCGGTTGACGGCACCCCCCAAATCGGTTCATTTTACTAAAAAAACAATCTGTGTGAAATTTTAGTTCAATTAGATAAGTGGAAATGGTGCCCCAAGAGCCTCAAAGATTGGAAAATAACGATTTTTTCCATAAAATTCATCTTTGATTGCTTATATCTCCGACATATTTAATTTTACATAAAAACTGTAATGTAAAACTGTAAAAAACTGAAATCCCCCTATTAAATTTAGGTAAGTTCAATGAATGAATTGTCTACTAAATTTGCTACAAAATAAGTCCAATACTTATACAGTTATATACATAAGTGAGTTTCTGTATTATTCATTGGAATGCGAAGTGAATTTTAATTCAAAGTGATTACATTAAAAAGTGTAGAAGTATGAACGCCCAAATGTTGAACTATTTCAACGATTTCAGAAGTTTTGGCCGAAAATAAACGTTGATAACTTTACAGTCGGCTTAGAAAATGAAAAAGTAAGAAAATCGTTAAATATGGATGATGTGTTACGAATTACAAGTTTCCTTTATAAGATTCGTAAGAATAACCAACCAAGAGATGATTATAGGGAACTTCTGGAACTTGCATTAATGTTTTTAGGAAAAAAGCCGAACTGTATCATAAAGTTTCGACCTCCTGGAGCTATACATCATGCAAGATGGATGGTGAAAGTCATGCATGTATTAAAAATATTTTTATTAAGGAAAGAGTTCAAATTATCTACAGAAGAAGAAAATGCTCTTTGCGATATATGTATATTTATTACTAAAGTGTATGTTGAAGTATGGTTTAATGCTTTGTCATCAGTCAAAGCTCAGTTTCAAGATTTTAATCTTCTTTCTATTCTCAGTCAATATTAATAAAATTGTATTTGGTATTTAAGCTCAAAGCTTGTTCATTTTGCTTTTTTGGATTTTAATATATCACCTGAGACAAAGAAAAAGATGGTTTCAAATTTGAATATAGATAGTGATGACAAGGAAGTCAGGAGAGTATCAATAGATCGCGCAAAAATAACTTTCCAAGTTGTAATAAGGATACTTTGCTCCAGCAACTTTAACTAAAATAATAAATATTATGTCTGACAAACCTAGAATTAGTACTTTTTTATTATTAGAAAGATTAAATTTTGGAAATATTGAATTTATTTTAAATTTTTTAGAAATATCAAATTTTTTGTAAAGCTGAAGCGGACAATTACATTCATAGTACTTTCAAAGCTAGCAATCGGGTGACTTCAACTTATTTTTTGTTTTATTCAATAACTATTAGAAATACAGAAAAACTTTGTATGAGTGAATTGTTTATTTTTAATAGATCTATAACTTTTAGTTTTTATGTAAAATTAAATATGTCGGAGATATAAGCAATCAAAGATGAATTTTATGGAAAAAATCGTTATTTTCAATCTTTGAGGCTCTTGGGGCACCATTTTCATTTATCCAATTGAACTAAAATTTCACACAGATTATTTTTTTAGTAAAATGAACCGATCTGGGGGTGCCGCGGACAATTTTCCGACTTTCGAAAATTAATGGCACCCTAATGTAGACGTTCAATATTGGTGCTACAATAAAGTAAATATTTGCTATATAAAATATATTATTATTAATATATTATTTGTTTATAATATTTATCTTAATCTTTTTCTTGTTTTTTTTATTGGTTTATTAGTGTTTATTACGATAAAAACATATCATGTTTAACAGCAAATGATGTTATTTTAAATCATTATTCCCATCTTACATATTTTCCTTTTATATAGTTTATATATTTTATATAGGTAAAGACGACGATATATGTTTTAAATAAAATCTTGAAAATTATTTTTCCTACATAGAAACGGCATATTTCGCTTAAATGAAGCTCAACTTTAGGCTATTAAATTGCAACCCTGTTATATTTTTTAATTTTGCATTTTAAATTGAAATAAAATATGGAATATGTAACAAAAATCAAAAAGATTAAAAAAAAATATGTAAAAAATTCATTTCAGACAGCATCCATCTTTCATCTGAGCATTGAAATTATTCATGTCTTCACACAAGTCACACTTCAACAAAAAAATGCTCTCAATATTTTCCGTGAATTTTCCAAACACCTTGAAGCCATGAATTTTAATAAACTCAATCAAATACAATTTCAACCAATTTCGCTGTATTGAGTGCGACAAAGACATTCCCCTCGTGTTACCTGAAACTCTGCAAATAATTTGTGTACTTCACCCGCTCTAAATTTAATAATAAATAACGCATACT